CCCCCCCCCCCCCCCCAGAAGGGCTCTTCCAGCCCTGTAATTCCTAAGGCTGGGAGGCTGCAGTGCTCACGTACAAAGGGATTGACTTGGCTGTGTGAATTTGACACCTCTACACCACGTGTGAGAGCCACACAGGGGCTGGATGCTTTTTGGAATGAGGGGAATTTTTTCCAGCGGGCCAATCAGTCCCGGCGTTGCTCATTTTACCCCTTGGCTCCCAGAAATTTGCTGGAGATGCAGATTAATAAATCCCTTCTCTCAGGTTTGAATTCTTGAACAGATAACGCCCTAGAACACAACCGAGGTAATTTTAGTGGTCTATTTTTAGAGAGTAAATTGCTAAAAACACACACGCTTGTTACAATGCTGCTTTTAGAAAAGGGCTGTGTGAGAAGATTTGAATTATCTGTCATATTTATGGCTCTGGAGAATTAGTTTTGGCTGTGGGAGGTCTCTCTGGATGTACCTCATCCTGTGTTTCAGGTAGGCTGGCATTCCACTGTAGCCATTCAAGTCCTTGTTCCTGATGTCCCAAGAAGGTTTTTCCATCAAACCCTTTTCCTACCTGGATGAAACTCTTCGAGTCCTGTTTGGCAGAGCCAAAGAATCAACATTTTTAGCTCTTCTGCCATCAAATGATGTTACCTTGGAAAACTTCAAGGGGGGAACTTCAGCTGTTACCTCCTGTTGGGTGGGATTTTCCTTCCCTGTGGTGTCTCTTGTCTGGCTGACCTCAACAACTATTGGAATTCTGATTAATTTACTAGAGTTTCATCGAAAGCCAGAGGTTTATATTCCTTTATTTCAGATATCTCCCTTGGTTCATCTGATTTTTCAGTGTCAGCCCTGTGCAGAACTGCTCGTTGTGGGCATTTGGATCTTGCTCTTGCCTTGATTAACCTCTCCTTGCTGAAGAGCACTCTGATTATACTCCAGAGCAAGGTGAAGCAGGGTGACAGTCCCACATGTTCACCTGGCTAATTGCTTATTCCTTATGCAGAAAGATCCTTTTTTTTTTTTTTTTTTTTTTTTTTTTTTTTTTTTTTTTTTTTTTTTTTTTTTTTTTTTTTTTTGCCCCTTGATACGATTTCATCCACGAAAATCCCTCCACGGGCAGAATATCTGTCTGGAATGTGCCCTTAGCAGGAATGGGCAGAAAAGCAGTTTTGAGGCATCACTTCCAGCAAAACCCACGGACTCATTTCCAGGCTGTCCCTGGTGTCTGCAGTCGTTAAAGCTGGAGGTTCTTGTGACATCAGATGGTCATAAGTTAAGTATGTTGGGCGGGTTCTGGTCCTGTTTTTGTTCTCGCAGGTGTGTCTGTACTTCAGGGCTTTAGTGGATCAGAGGGAGGAGGCTCGTGCTGGAGCCTGTGTGGCAACAGGAGAACTCATTTTCCCCTTTGGACTAAATCCTGGGAGCCTCAGAAGGTGCTGGGCACCCCACTGTCGGAATTCCTGCCTGCACCATGGGTTTCACACGTGGCTTTTTGGGAGGTGGAGGATAAACGTGGGTTTTTTTAGCCTGCTGGTTCCTTTGGTCCCTTTCAGTGTTTCCTGGTTGTTGCACTCGTGTAAAACTGGCTTGATATTGGTAGGAAGTTAGAAAAAAAAAAAAAATCTAAAAAGAGGTGATTTTTCTTTCCAAGGAGCCCCTGAATTGCCTCTGCTTAAACCTAAACTTTCTTATTTTGCAGGCACAATGCTCCACTGAAAGTTGTGTCCTCGGAAGAGGCTGTTTTTTAAAGATCAAGCCTATTGTTAAACTCACATTGTCTGCAATTTGGACAGCTCTTAATGCATCTTGAACTCTGAATCCAGAGAGATTTGGATTTATAGATTGAATAAAGGTCTCTAGACATTCATAAAAAGCTTTTCTCATTCTGATTTTTCTGTGTTTTAGAGGACCTTGAAAAACCCCAAACCCTAACGTTGTGATAAAAACTGTTGGGCTCCGATTCTGCGCTCGAGGGAGCGTTGCAGTTGTTCAGTTTTGTGGGCAAAGAGTTGGAAAAAAAAAAGAAGATTTCAGGTTATAAATCTTTGCTAGAAGCATCAAATCTACTCTCTGTCACCTGAGCTGTTGCAGTTGCTCATTTTGTGCTTTGCGTTCAGAACCAGGTTGGGTTCATTTGGTTTAATTCCATAAAGAGGCAACGTGACCCCACTGCAGGGCTTGGAATGATGCACTAATAATTACACCTTTAAACCTTTATTTAGGAAATCAAACAATTCCATGGCTGGGAATGAGCCAGAGGGGTTTCCTTCAGGAGCAAGGTTGATGTCTGAGGTTAGAAAGGAGCTCCTGGTCAGGTTGGTGTGTGGGGCTGGATCTCCCTGGAAGAGCCGGTGGGAGCCCTTTGCCTCACAGATGGATGTGGGAACACCTATTAAGTTACACATTTAAATTTCTTAAGCCTCCTTATCAGTGACTAGACTGGAATCTGGTTTTTATGTCCCAGGTGACTAAGGGGCCGTTCCTGGGCAGAGCAGCTCCGCACGGAATATCTGCTTCCGGCTCCTCCTCGCCCAGATCCCGGGCCCTGATGGCAGAGGGAGAAGTGTCTGCCTCACCTGGGCCACCTGAGCCTTTTATTGGGGCTGTACCTGCCCCAGAGCAGTTTCCATGGGGATGCCAGCAGGGTGAGCTGGGCTGGGCACACGGAGCACTTCCACATGGGCAGAGCAGCTCCCACTGCCAGGAGAATCCTGGAGTGCTTTGGGCTGGAAGGGACCTTTGGGACCATCCAGTTCCACGCAGGAACACCCTCCACTAGATCAGCTTGCTCCAAGCCCTGTCCAACCTGGCCTTGGACTCTCCCAGGGATGGGGCAGCCACAGCTTCTCTGTGCAAACTGTGCCAGGGCCTCCCCACCCTCCCAGGGAAGGATTTCTTCCCAGTATCCCATCTAACCCTGCCCTCTGGCAGTGGGAAGCCATTCCCCCTTGTCCTGTCACTCCAGACCCTCGTAAATAGTCTCTCTCCCCCTTTCCTGTAAGTTCCTTTCAGGTCCTGCAAGGCCACAGTCAGGTAGGTCTTCCCAAAACTTCTCTTCTCCAGGCTGAACAATCCCAATTTTCCCAGCCTTTCCTCCCAGCAGAGCTGCTCCATCCCTCTGGATGTTGCCTCCCTTGGATTTACTCAAGTCTCCCCTGGATTCACTCCATGTCCCTGCTGTGCTGGGACCCCAGAGCTGGGGGCAGTTCCAGTTGGTTCCTGCCCTGTTCAGACACGGATACCTGGAATGATGGATCCGGGTGTTAATGGGCATTGTAAGGTTGTAACAGTGAAGGAAAAGAAAAGGTTTGAAGTCCTTGTGCTCTGAGGAACCGACTTCCTTCCAGGGTAGGAAGCAGTTTCTTCGTGCCCATGTTAAATCTGGTTGGCTGTTACAGGAATTTTTACTCCTTTATTTAAAGAACTGCTCGAAATCATATCCAGGACTATCAGGCTCCCCAACTCCATCCACTGTGATCATTCTAGTGGTTTCAGCCATCAGTTTCTAAATAATTCCCACTTTAACTCCCAAATATTTTACCCCTTTGTAATTAATTCATATTTAATTTGAATTCCTCTGCATTCAAACAGAAAGCTGGCACAGCCCCACAGTTTATTCCTACGCCGGGAGCTGGCACTTGGTAAATAAAGCAGAGCGTGTGGAGCCAAGAGCTGGCAGAAGGGAAGCTCGCAGGAAAACGGGAAGGAGAATCTCCTGGCAGATGTTTTTAACCTCGGAAGTGCTCACAGTGTCGAGCACCCACAGAGGTTGTGTTTCTGCTCATCTCCCACCCCAGGGTTTTGCTCTGGTCTCCCACAGATCATCTCCAGAGGAGGCTGACGGGCTCTCCATCCATTATTTTATTGCTCTTGGACTCCCAGGCGTGTACAAGGGCTCTATTGTCAGGCTCTCAGACCCGTTTTCACCCGGCAGTTGGTTCTCTTCAATAATCCACAGCGTGATAAGTAGGCCTGGCGTGGCTGAACGCGGATCGGGCGCGCGCGTCCCCTCCCGGCTCAGCGCTCCCAACCACCAAACCCCACCTCCTGGAGGCCTTCTGGAGATGGGTGGGAGGGGGGGGACGCCTTCCTCGGGGAACTCTTCTTCCTGCTGCTCACGGAATTTCTCTTCCAGGTGAAAAATGCAACCAACCAAATCGTGATGAACTGCGCCGACATCGACATCATCACGGCTTCCTACGCACCGGAAGGGGACGAAGGTAGGGACGAGGATCCGTTCCCGGCGTTCCGGGAGCTGCTGCCAGCAGCCCTGATTCCCTAATTACATAACGTTTGATAAGCTCAGAATTCCTTATCTCGCTTCCACGCTCGCTTTCCCCGCTGCCATTTGCGGGGTGGTAGAGAAGTTCCCTCAGACCTCCACGAAGCCTCAATGGGAGACACCCCTGCAGGAGCTGGGGAGATGCACTGGGAGCTGTGTTTGTCAGAAAGTGTAAACCTTCGGCAGTATTTATTAAACAAAGTGTTCCCATGGTGGGGAACGAGCCAGGGACGTTTGTTCTGCTCCGCTGTGCCTGAGGGTTGTGGGCAAAGGACGTTGGGCTGGTTTGACACTATTATTTATCTTTATATTAGGTGTGTAAGAATGTGATCTGTACCTGTGGATTTGGGAATATTGACAGTAGATGATGCCCTGCACTAGGAAATATCCATGGGGAAGGGTTTGGAAAGTACAGGAGACACTTAATTGTCACTTAGCAGGACGTAGGACAACAGGGAAAAAGGTGGTTGTGTGGAGGAGACAAGGATTGGGATCCAGCCCAGTGGGAGGCTGGAAGTTCCTGGGGAAATGGAAGCAGCAGTGCCTGTGGTAACACTCAGGTGTAGTCCTTGACTTCCCCAATTATATTTTGAGGAGTTCAGCCAGCACAGAAAGGGTTTGGGCAGTTGAAGCACGAAATGAAGGAGGTGTGCAAAATAAGCTCCGTGAAACAGTGATGTTCTAACAGGGATCAAAGCCTTCCTGTTTTTTTTTTCCTGGAGCATTTGCTTTTTCAAGCCCAGTAGCTCTTTGGTCCAGTGGTTTCTGAAGCCCTCCAGAGAACAAAGGGCTCTGCAGAGCTTCCCTTTCCACAGGGAAAATGTCCCTTTCCACAAGGAAAACTCCACAATGATGTCACGGAGCACTTTGTTGTGGTTTACCAAGGCTGTGGATTAGTGGGATGATCTTGATGATGGAGAGCAGGAAGGTGTTCCTTTGGCTGGGTTCAAAGTTTATGCAAGCTGGAGAGAAGGGCTGTGTTTGGGCACTTAAAGAAGAAAAGAAACATGGATTTCTGGGGTGGATTTTGTAGGGATAATTCCAGTTCTGTTGCAGTGATGTTATCCCATGGCTGATGGGTTTGGACGTGGCAAGTGGCCAGGTTGGACAGGGCTTGGAGCAACACCTGGTCCATGGGTGGGCTTTAAGGTCCCTTCCACCCCAGACCACCCTGGGATTCTAAGGGGAGTATGCACAGCAAGTCTTTGCATTTAGATGGGTTCTTCTCCTGTTATTTTTGAGGTAATATCAGAGCAGCCAGAGGGCTGTTTGGGTGCAGCAGGGCTGAGGAAATGGCCCGAGGAAGCAGCGCTGGAGGAGGGTGTGTTTGGAAAAGCCGAGCTCAGCGCAGGAAGTGCCGCCACAGCCAGAGGGAAGGCAATGACTGAGGAGCCTGGAGCTGGGCCACCCCATTCCCACAGGGAGAGCCTGGAGAGCTGTTCCCTACGTGCTCCAGGTTGTTCCCTGGCTCTCCAGTGCCTTTCACACAGAGCTGGTTGGGAGCAGGGTGTTGCCAAGGTCTCCTGGAGCTGTTCCTCATCCTGAGGAACGAGGACATAACCAGTGGTAGTAAGAGCAGAGCACAGGCCCAAACAGAGACTTAAACCAAAGGGTGCTGGAATCGAGTTTGTTTGGCTTAAATTCCTTCATTCTGTGGTGTTTTTCTTTTTTTTGGATAACCCCCAGGACACCCAGGAGTTTGAGTGCAGCTCTCTGGCCCTCTCAAGCCGTGGTACCATAAGTGCTCCAGGTGTAGCTTTGCTGCAGGGTCACTGTAATTCTCCTCAGGCTTCACGGGGTTAAAACCTGGCCCTGGGGTTGGGAAGGTGCCAAGCAGTGCAATGGCTTGGGAAGGAAAACTGCATGGAATTGGCTCAGTGTTCGCTGGCACCTGTTGATAGAGCTCGAGTCAGTCTCACTAATGCTCCTATTGTGCCCAGCTTTGGGGTGGTAATTGTATAACTGCTCTCAAAAACCCAGGGTGAAATGTAGTCCAGGGAAGCCACAGGAATATCAACCCCTTCCTTGGGATTGGATCCCTTTTAGGTGAGCCTGCTGCCAGCTGCCTGGAGAGTGTGTGTGGAAAGGAGGGAGAAGTTTGGAGGGGTCCTCTCATTTAAAGCTCTTCTTTAAATCTCCTTTAAAATTCTTCTCTGGTGGAGAATTGTTACCTCTTGGTTCTGTGTCTCAGTGGGGGAGAATTTGTCTCAGCCTTGTCTGCAGTGTGAGAAAAGATAAAAGATAATCAGTCAGTTATCTCCTTTCAAGTGTGGTTCTGTCCCAAAAAGCAGCTGTGGGAGAAAGATCCCTGTCCTTTGTTTCAGGAGGTGATCCGTTGATTTTTGTGCAGAGCAGTTGGTTACTTTCCTAGTAATTCTTACTAATCCCGAGTGGGCTCCTTGCCCCCTTGTTCACCTTTCAAAGATGGATACAGCAGAGGGTAGGACTTGGCCTTTGGAATTTTAATGCAGATTTGCAGGGAAATCAGATTATTGCCCAATATTTGTCGGGAAGCCGAGGGAGGATCTGCAGCTTTAAAGTCAGACTAAAGAATTTTGCTGCGTAATCCCCCATCGAGCGACAGCGAGTGGCAGACCAGGGAGGGGATTGATTACTCAGGACTTGGGAGCAGAAAAAATCCTGTTTCATCATCAAACTGGTGCAGGGATTTGCTAAGTGGGGGTTGTGGATTTGCTCTGAGTGTGCCAGGAATTCTGTAATGGAACAAAGCTGCTCCAAACACCGAGTTTTCCGTTGCTGGAGCCGCTCCTCCCACTGATTCTAAGGAGTCATTGGGATTGGCTTGGTTTTTCATGTTTGTGTTTTTTTTTTTTTTCCAAAAGCTGTTTTTTAGCATTTCTGGTGCATCTCTGGCTTTTAGGTGTGCACGTGCTGCACTGCCTGTGGCCAGATGGCTGGCTTGGCTCGGCTGAATGAGGAACTGCAGAGACATTCCCAAGCAAGTTGAGTTTGAAGGGATTGAGTTTCAGACTCGCTGAATGCGAAGGAGTTGGAGCTTCCTGTGAGTCTCTCCCTTCAGGCAGCTGTGAAATTGTGATGGAGGGAGTGAGTTTGGTTGTCTTTGGCTTGGAATCCCCTCAGGTTCTGGGAGGGGGGGATCTAAAGCAGCTTTTTGGTTTTAGAGGTGCTTGGAAGGGGAGCAGTTGGCAGCTCCACGTAGGAAATCGCAGGCAGCAGGGGTGATGTTTGTTTAGCAGGAATAATAACCCAAAGTACAACTTTGGGTTGTACTTCAACCTTTAAGAGGCTTTAAGGCCAGAACTCATTATTTTGGCCTTTCCCTTCCCACTGCAGGGTGCTGGTTACACCAGAGCTGGTGTTTAAAAAACCCCCAAAACCAGCAGTACTCAGGGAGAGCTGAGCAATGGTGTGTCTGAGCTGTGCCTGTCCTCTCTCCCTCCCCTCCCCTGGCGTTCCTGCTGGCCCTGCTGAGCAGCCAAGTGGATCAGGAAACTGCCCCTACGAGGGGAGCACCAAGAGGCAGCTCGCAGGCAGATCACCTTCCTGCTCCCTGGGAGTGAATTCCAGTGGAAGGAAGGGAATGGGAATGTGAACTCCCACCTGGGGCCAGGTGGCAAACCCGACTGCAGTTGCTGCCTGGTGCAGTCTGGAGTTGTTTAAAGCAGTGGTGAGTGTTTGTTTGTTGTAGGAAAATCTCCCCTTCATCCCTTTTTTCCCTGGAGAGCACTCAATGCAGGTTTTTAAGGAGGGCTGAGCTACCTTGGCCTGGGAACGTCTGATGCACGGGAATATTCCTGAACGTTTTAGGATTTTACAGTTTGAATCTCATGGAAAGGGCGTGGAAGCATTAGAGTTCTGGGAATTGCAGGACAGGGAATGCTGGGTCAGCACAGGGATGGTTTGAGCGAGTGGTTTAATTTGCAAGAGAGAAGCCAGAGTGCTCCCAGCCCCTGCAGCTGCCCTGGCAGTGCAGGTTCATTAAAGCCACCACACCTTAACTGCCTGGGACTCCTCCATGCCATGGATCGAGGGCCACTTGAAAAAATTCCATCTCTTGTCTTGGCCTGGAGTCCAGATCTGACTTTGGTTGAAGCCCTTGGCTGGGAGCCACGTGTGGAAGTGGCAGAGCACAGGAATGGGGATCATTAATCCAGGGGTCCCCCTGGTTACTGTGCAGCTGCAGGGAGTGCTCTGTGGCAGGCCTGTCATTTATTCCAAAAGCTGGTGTAGAGTTTGAAGTGCAGTGCTCCAAGTTCTGGGATGCAATTTTTTAGACTCTTTTAAATTTTTTAATCCCCCCCCCAAAAAAAAAAACAACAACCATGGAGCAGCAGCTTTTGATTTTCTCATGCAGCTCAGCCCAGACTGTGTACTAATGTGCTAGTGATTAACTTGCAACCTTGCAGTGCCAAACTCTCCAAAGCTTGTAGGCTGCCAAAACTGGGCTGTTCTCTTCAGGAGCTTTTGTATTCCACTGGTAGGAATTCACACAGCCCTTTGCTGCAATCACATCTTTGTTAGAAGCAGTCCTCTTAAACTCGAACAAAAAGTATTGTTGATGGTTTTCCATGGTTCTTTTGCTCTGGATTAAATTATTGGCACTGGGTAGTCAGTTTAAACAACAACAACAAAAAAAATGCAGCTTTGAATCTTTCATTTATGTTCTGTTGCTTTGGGATTTGATATTGGAGGAGCTGCTTGGAGTTAGAAAACCCTGAAGGTCTTCATCTTCTGACCGTGCTGATGTTCAGCTCTGTCCTTCCTGGTGCAGGTTAAAAAGCTCATAAAGCAGCGGATCTGCAAATTCAAACACACTTCAGAGCACTTCACATTTGGGAGAGGAGGAGGGGGAAACTTGATATCCATTGTCAACCTTTGGCAGAAGCTGCACATAACACACATTCCTCTGCACTCCTCAGTTTCAGGAGGCTGGAACTCTGCTCCTGAAGCCCTGCTGGTGTTTGTCTCCGGGATCAGATCGTTGTAAAAAGATAAAAAAAAAAATGTTTATGGTTTGCTGTGGTCCTTTCAAAATCCACGGGGAGGGGGAAGTGTTGCTGCATTCCTGAGCTGATCCTTATCCAGCCTCTCTCAGGTGTTCACTCACCCTCTGACCACAACCTGCAGCTTGTCCAGCAGCAGCAGGATCCCTCCAGGCTGACAGCTTCCCAGCAGGAACCCAGCCAGCCCTTCCCTCTGACCCAGGGCACCCACGTGCTGCTGCAGAACAACAGGTTTGTTGTCTGGTGGACTCGGGGTCAAAATTCCTGGGATCTGAAGGATGGAGTCAGCAACCGCCAGCTCCTCTCTGCTGCTGTTAATTCAGATTAACACCTTGTCCATCAGGACTGTTCTCCTGAAAATCTTCCTCCAGCTCTTATTTGCTGCCTCGGTACCCCCAGAGTGAGAAGAGGAAAAGGCAGACCCATCTTTGTGGTGCTCTTTTCCCACTGCTCGCTGGCAGTTGGGTGTCCTCGGCCTGGATTCTGCTTTCAGTGCTCCATCTCATCCCTCTTTATGGTTGATTTTCAAGATCTTGGAACTCCTCAGCGCGGATCAGGAGTCTGAAGTTCTTCTGCCTGGCCCTGGGAAGGATTGTTTTCCCCTGCATTTGTTCCTGCACTGTGTTTTCTGCAGCTCTTTCTGTGTGGTTTGAGCCTTTCCGTGTCCTGCAGCCCAGCGCGGCGGTTGGCTCAGATTAAACCCTGAGCAGAGCTCTGTGAAACCTGTACTTAAGGCTAATTCATTCATGCAGTTCCTGCACTGATGTGCTCTGTGAGCAGGGGGTTCAGGCTGAAATCACACTTGAAATTTTAGAACAATAAAAGCAGGTTTCCAGTTCCTTTTGTCGCTCGTGGAGCAGCTCGGCTGAACACCCTGGAGTGTGCTGAGGCTGAAACCCAACACCTGGATGCTTGCAGTGATACCTGAGTGTGGAAAACAAGTCCTTTTGTGGCTGAAATTGCTGTTGCAAAGCAGCTTTGTCCTTCAGGAAGTCGGTTGAGTGGCAAGTTTTCCTTTTAGGAGGAAAAGTGGAGGATGGTGCTGCAGAAACCATTTCTCACTTGCTTTGGAGCAGATTTAAGGTTCTTAAAGATAATTTCTCCAGGGTTTTTGCAGTGGTTGAATGACACAGGGAGCAGAACTTGCACAGTGAGGTCCTGTGGAGCTGTTCCAGGGTTTTTTTTGGCTGAAGGATCATAGGTCCACATCATGTCGGAGGCAGCAAGTGGGGCCTGAAGTAGGAAGGAGGAAACAACTCCAGGTGCTCTCTCCTGGCTCTGAGGAGCTTCAGGACACTTTGATTCCTGAGGAGATTCCCTCCCCCTGTGTCTCCAGCTTGGCCTCATAGTTTGGATGTTTGCATCCACAAATAGTTCCAGTGCTGTGTAAATACCAAACTGCTTCATTTTCGGGGGGACTTGGGATACCTTTGCTGAGCAGGACAGCAACTCCAAGGTGGGCTCTGCTTCTCAAGCCCCTTTTTAAATAAAACCAACACCGTGTTTTTCTCTGTGGTTAAATCCAAGGACCCCCCCCCCACCACCTCCTGCTGTGGAGATTAATGTGCTTTTCAAAGTGAGAGCCACAAATTGGGTAAATAAATCCTAAGCATCTTGTTTGGGATAATTATTAAGAGTCCTGCTGCACTGATGGAAGTGTTTAATATTGAGGGGAATTTTGGTGCACTAGTTCACCATTTGTCAGGATTGTGGCAGCTGTTCCCAGCATTCCTGGTGTCCAGATACTGCTCTTACTGCAGGTTTATCATTTATCAGCTCAGCTTTCATTCCTGGGCTTGGCAGAAGCTTTCCCTGCCCTGGAATTCTGAGCATGAGGGTGTTCCTTTGCTTCCTCACATTGAATTATGGATTATTCAGAATCTCTCTTGATTTGTTCAGTAGCTGCAGCATGTTGGGTTCAGCTGATTCAGTGAATTTTAAATGTTTTATTATTCTAATCTAAATGTTCCTGAGTACAAAACCCTCTCTGGGGCTCCCTCTGACCAAGGAAATGTTTTCTGTTCCAGAGGTTCACGCCACGGGGTTCAACTACCAAAACGAGGATGAAAAGGTTACTCTCTCCTTTCCCAGTACCCTGCAGAAAGGTAGGAGCTATTCCCCTGCTTCCTGCTGCCATCAGCCTTGCCTTTGAGGGGTTTGCACTTGGAAAAGCTGGAGTGGGACACCTCTGCCCTCCCTGAGGGTCCCGAGGGTGGGTGTGGGGTCTGCCCACCACAGGTCACTTGGGGAGCCTCTGCACTGGGAGATGTCATGTCACTGATGGTGATGTTTGCTTCCAGCACCTGGGGTGGCTCTGATTATTTCCCTGCTCTTGGGAGGCAGGAGCTGTTCCTGTTATTCCTCCTGAGCTCCTGGAAGCAGGATTTTCCTCACTGTTGTTTCTTCTGAAACTGCTGCAGCTCCTCGCTCTGAGGAGCCCGTGGGTTGAAACAGCTCCCCAGTTTAAATAAAGCAGTTTTATTTCATCTGGAGAAATGCAAATAGGAAATTCTGGGATGATCAAGCAGGAATGTTTGGTTCTATGGGATCTTGGCTGCTGCTCTGGGCAGGCTCAGGTTTCCCCTTTTGCACTGAGACATCAAGGGCAGAACAAATCCTGAGACTAATTGACTTATGAGCTTGAGCACTGCCACAGCCCCATCCTGGCTTTGTAGTGGATTCCACAGGATGCCATTATTACTTACATCCTATATTTGTGCCAACTTTAAAGTGAGGATTAGAGGATCAGACTTTGGGAATGGCTTAAGGTTGGTCTCTCCTGGTTGTGCTTTGTGTTTAGAAGTTGGGAATGAGCCCTGCAGCAGCCTCTGGTCAATCCTAAAAACCTGTGGAGAGCCTGGCTTGGCTTTTGTGGAGTTTGTTTGGGGTCAGTGGAGGGTTTGTGGGAGGCACAGAGGGGATGGAGAGGAGCTGAAGGGGCCTGGAGGTCCAGACCAAATCCATGCTCTGTTTGGCACAATCAAGTACCAACAACCCCCTCTGTTTGTGTTGCAGGGACAGGGACACTAAAGATAGACTTTGTAGGGGAGCTGAATGATAAAATGAAAGGTTTTTACCGGAGTAAATACACCACCCCCACCGGAGACACCCGCTACGCTGCTGTCACTCAGTTCGAGGTACGGCCTGCACTGCTGCTTTTCAGTAGGATTTATGCTTGGCAGAGGCAAAGACAGTTTTTTTTCCCCATCTTCATCTCTCCCCTCTGGCTGAATTTCAAAAACCCCTGTGGTTTGTTTTACTTCTTGCTCCCGGTGTGGGTAACACTAAAAATCAACCTCCGCACTGTGGCCTCCAGGTCAGGAAATTCGGGATGATTCCCCCGGGCAGGGATGGTGCTGGTGTGGGATGCATCCTGTACATGCAGCGTTCAGGAGCAGCTCGTGGCTCAGACGTGCTCAGCTGCCTCTGTCAAACCTTCTTTTGTGGGGCACTTCAGTCCCCCCTTAGCAGGACTCTGTGCCCCGATCTCGGTGCCTCCCTGCCACCCCAAACGCCCGCCACGGCCCATCCCTGTTACATAAACCCAGGCCAAAATGATCCCACATTGCCCCTGCACACTCCTCTGCTGCTTATTAAAACCAGGCAGTGCCCCCCTGCCACAGCAGAGCGTTTGGGGAGCGGCTGGGGGGAGTGTAAATAGGTGGTCGTGTGTGCAGGGCCTGTGAACGCCTGGGTGCCCTCGGAGCTTTCACATGACTGAGCTTTGCTCCTCTCATGACTCTGCTAAATTTTCCTCAGACTGTACAATTCCATCAGAGCACAGAGGCCTTTTCAGCTGCTTTTATTTTTTCAAGCCGAGGGTGAAATAAGAATAAAATGCTCTAATGCGGAGGTCAGGAGTGTCAGTGAGGAGACCACACCGTGATTCACCCACTTCTCGCTGTAAAATAAGCTGAATTTGTGTGTTTTGCTGCCACAATCTCCCGTGATTTATTCATTTAATGCTCTCTTTTCAGGCTACTGATGCTCGCAGAGCTTTCCCTTGCTGGGATGAACCTGCAATTAAGGCAACATTTGATATTTCTTTGGTGGTTCCTAAAGACAGAGTAGCTTTGTCAAATATGGTGAGTCCTTGATGTGCAAATAAACAGTGTTTTAAATAAAGCTGTGATAGCACCAGCTGCTTGATCGATAATTAATAACGTGTCCTGGTGACAGAGTTAGGAATACAGGCTGCCTTGCTATTGCTAGGGAGCAATAAATGCAGAGAGCTTTGAAACAAGGTGATAATTGGTGTCAGATGCACAAAACCCGAACAGGTTGGACAACCCTGGTGGTTTTAAAAAAAAAGAAAAAAAAAAGTATTTATAATATGTGTGAAATATATATAAAATAATATATCTAAATAATATATATAATAAATAATAAATCTTGGCATATGTCAGGCCACGTGCTGGTTGATGAAGAGTGACTGGGGAAAAGCCCTTTGTGTGTTACCCAGAAGCACTCGAGATAAATCAGTGAGTTTTCTGCTCTGCAGAGTTTCTGTCCAGAACTGGGGTAAAATGTGGAAGCAGAAGTACCTCTGTCACAAAATGGGCATTTTTAGCGTGCTGCCTGCACATACTTTTAGATGATGGTGCTGGAAAAAAGTCAATTTAAAAATAGACCTTTTTTTTTTTTTTTTTTTTTTTTTTAACTAACATTGAGAGTTACCTGTAAAGTCTGGGCTGGCCTTGACCACAGGGTTTCTGTTTCAAGCCAAGGTTTGTGTTTCAGTAAAAGCTGGAGCCGCCCTGGGATGGGAGCGGCGCTGCTTTTGAAGGACAGACGCTTTGGGAATCAGGGGATATAACTTACATATAACCCCTATTTACAATACACAATATCTCCCCAGAACGTGGTGGACAGGAAGCCCTACCCGGACGACGAGAACCTGGTGGAGGTGAAGTTCGCCAGGACCCCCGTGATGTCCACGTACCTCGTGGCCTTCGTGGTGGGCGAGTACGACTTCGTGGAGGCGCGGTCGCAGGACGGCGTCCTGGTGCGGGTCTACACGCCCGTGGGCAAGGCCGAGCAAGGAAAGTTTGCGCTGGAGGTAAATGAGCTCTCGGGGGTCCTGCAGGGATCCCTGGACGTGCCTCTCCTCTGGTCTGTCAGCCGAATCCCCGGGGTTTGTGGGTGGTTTTTCGGTGGCTCGAAGAGGCTGAGCTCCGCGTTAACCAGGATCTCAGCTGTGGGCACGCCGGGGTCTGCAGTGACCAGAACACGGGGCTTGAGTCGCTTCTGATTTGCTGTGATGGCTTGAAGAGATTGAGAGACTGAGCTTGATATTAAACAGAATTTCAGCTGTGGACCAATGTCTGTCATGACCACAACTCAGGTTTGAACTCGGTTGTGATTTGCTTTAGTGACTCAAAAAGCCTGAACTCGATATTAAACAGAATTTCAGCTGTGGGCAAATCATTGTCTGTAGTCACCAAAACACAGGTTTTGGCTCAGTTCTGGTTTGCTTTAATGTCTTGAAGAGATTGAGCTTGATATTAAACAGAATTTCAGCTGTGGGCGAACCAACATCTACAGTCACCAAAACAAGGGTTTTTAACTCAGTTGTGATTTGCTTTAATGACTCAAAAAGCTTGAACTCGATATTAAACAGAATTTCAGCTGTGGGCAAATCATTGTCTGTAGTCACCAAAACATAGGTTTTATTCAGTTCTGATTTGCTTTAATGGCTCAAAGGGAAGGAGTTTGATGTTAACCAGAATTTCAGCTGTGGACAAACCAACAGTTACAGTCACCAAAACATGAGGTTTAACTCAGTTCTGATTTGCTGTGGTGGCTCAAAAACACTGAGCTTGCTATTGAAGAGGATTTCAATTGTGCACTAAACCAGTGCCTCTAATGACCAGAACACATGGTTTAACTCAACTGATTTAGTTCTGACTTGCTGATTCTCTGATGAAGTCCTGGCTTGAAGTTCTGATGAAGTTCTGATGAGGTTCTGGTTCTCTGATGTCGACTTGGGCCCGAAGATGATGAGAAGTCCTGGAGGGTGGCAACAGCCTGGGAGAAAACAGGGATGGGGAGTCTTCCAAACCATTGTGCTCTGGGAGCTGGGAGTGGGGCTTCTGGAAGAAATCTTTGTGCTGCTTTCAGAAATTCTCAAGTTTCCCCAAGTTCCAAGTTAACAGGACATTTCTCCTCTTATTTCTTACAGGTTGCTGCTAAAACTCTGCCTTTTTATAAGGACTACTTCAATGTTCCTTACCCTCTTCCTAAAATTGATCTCATAGCTATTGCAGACTTTGCTGCTGGTAAAGTAACTCACTTTATTGATGAACTGTATTTAATTTGAATTTTAAACGTTTAGGAAGAGGTGTGTATCAATATCAATAAACCTTTGTATTTATTTTATAAAGGTGCCATGGAGAACTGGGGCCTTGTTACTTATAGGTATGCTGTTAAAATACTGTCTTTCCCCCTCTTTGTTCACTAATTCTTGGAATAACTGGATTAGTTTTAGGGAGCTGTAATTACTGGGTGTCATCCCAAATGAGACAAGAGCAAATACCTTCAATCCTTGCTTACCTTTGGGTAATTTTGGTGGCACTGAACAGCTTAGGAAGGCAAAAACCAGCTCTTGCAGGTGCTGTCCAAGGGTGTGAGGTTTTTGAGTGTCTGGCAGCACTGCCTGTTTCTGCAGGAAAACTTTCCTGGCCCCTTTTTTTCCCCCCCTGTAAAACTCACTTGACACAGCTGGGAGAGTTTCTTATTTTACTTTGGTAAATTTAACAAGCAGAGAGTAACCGTGTGGAGAGGAGCAAATCAAAAATATTAACTTGCCTTCCTTTTCAGTTGGATTTTTTTAAATTTTTTTTTCCCTCCTTCTGAACAAGCTTTTGTTCTCTGGCTTGATATTATTCCATTTTCTGTGCTCGCTGTCACGACCATTTCCCTGCATTTTGAAACAACCTGAAAGCTTTGGACCTGAAATCCTGAAATAGTTTCAATTCCTTCTGCTCAGCTTTTGATTTGGCCTGAAAAATCCACACGGAAATTCGAGCCCAGGTTTCAGATCCGTTTGTCTTCTCATTGCATTTCTGATGAAATCTGATATTTTGCTCCCTGTGAAGAAAAAAAAAGACAAAACGTGTTATTTATCCTGGATGAGGGGAATTTTTGGAAGCTTTTCTTGAAGGTGCTGTTAATTTTCCCCCCCTCTTATGCTGAGTTTGGGTTGGCTCTGTCCCTCTGGGAGGCACCAGCTGAGGTGTTTTCCCTGGAATTACAGCATTCCAGGGGTTTTTAACAGAGCCCCCAAGCCCTGCCGGTGGCAGGGGGGGTGCCAGGGGAAGGTTTGTGCCTGGTTCAGGGAGCACAAGTGGAGAACCTTGTGTGAGCCATCTTGGAAGAGCCAGAATTCCTTTGGGAATGAGGGAGGAGGCAGGGAGGGCTGTGCAGCCCTCCTGCAGCTGAGGGTTCTTAGATTATGTAGGTGAGCTGGCTGATAAATAAAGGATGAACTTTTTACTCCTGCCTGGCTTTTTCCACTTGTCTTCTTGCATGCCATAAGGAATTCCTGCTCCAAAGCATTCCAAGAGCTGTGGAACTTCCCAAATGTCTACACTGAAGTAGCTTTTGGGGTGGTTTTTTTGGTGGTTTTTTTTGGTGTTTTTTTAAAATTTTTTTTCCAGTTGTGCTGATCACTTTTTAGCTTATTTAGGTGATTTAACCTACTCTTGACTGTGTTCTTCCCCCTGGGCTCGTCCCACCCCTTGCTCAGTTGCCTCTCTCTCTCCTCCACAGGGAGACAGCTCTGCTCATCGACCCCAAAAACTCCTGCTCTTCATCTCGCCAGTGGGTGGCTCTGGTTGTGGGCCATGAACTCGCTCACCAGTGGTTTGGAAACCTTGTGACCATGGTATGTGCTTTGTTACCCCTTTATTCCTAAATTCCCAGGTCTTTTTGCGGCGTTCCGGTGTTTTCCTCCCAGCTCTGGAGCTGAAGAGTTGCTCAGGAGTAACTCCTGTGGAATTCCTTGGGATAAATCTGGAGCCAGTGCCTGAAGGGTTTGGAATTTACCTCATTTTTGTGGGGATGAAACCACAAGGGAGGCAGCAGGAGTGAAAATCTGGAAAGAAATTCCATTTACTGCTAAAAACATTTATTGCTTCAGTTCCCTCTGGGAATGGGACCTGACATTCCTTTTTCCAAATCCCTGCAGACAGATTCTCCAATCCAGATATTTCACAGGCTCTGAAGTTCTTTGTGTTGTAAGAAATTAGTGTTGGGTGAAAAAAATTCGGGGTTTGGAGCCCTAAATCTTCACTGTTTAAACTGTGAGTGGATAGGGGGGGGGAACAGTGTTAAATATGAATTTTAGTAGTTATTTTAATATTCATTAAAAAGCAGAGTTTGGGAGACTTCTCCAGGCCCATTCCTGGTTGGGGCAGCTTCCATGTGAGAGCAGCACAGTGTTTGCAGGGAAAAGCAGAGCTGAGATGATGTATTTTTAGCTTTTAGTGGAGCTGAACAGCTGGAAGCAGGGAGAGCCAGCATCCTGTGACACACTGGGGGATGCCAGCAAATGCTCACACTCCATTACTGACCACAAACCTGTCGAGAGCTGGGGGCAAAAAGGCTGAGAAAGGTCCCAAAACCCTCTAAAATTTACATTAAATCAGCTCTTTCTTTTCCTTTCCAAGCTCTAGCTCTCCCAAAGTTTTCTGTAAGAGCTTTCTCCTGCTGGTTATTAACATCTTCTCTCCTGTGATGCAGCCCTGAAATAGGAAAAGACATTCCAGTGTTAGTTCATTCCATGAAAAATCAGCTTTCCCTCCTCTCTAATGAGGGGCCCGGAGCAGAAATCCTCAGCAGCATCTCTGCTTTGCTTTGCCACTTCTGGCCAGCACAATATCCCAGGTTTTTTCTGATGAATAAGAAGAATTCCAGGTGTGCTGGAGCCATGGAAAAGGGTGTTTCCTTCCTCAGTATCCGCAGCCTTTTTCCTTACCTTCCCTACTTCACTCAGATATGAACTATTAATATGAAATGTTGATATTCAAGTGGAAGGCAGAATTTTAAAATGTCACTGTCCCATTCTTACCCTAAAAAAAAACACCCCACAAATCCCACTTTTGGCTGGGCAGGAACAACTTTTGGAACTGTTCACCAGCCTTCAGGTTTTCCATGATTTAGAATATTTCTTGAGGTTTTTCTCCTTTATGTAAGGGGGAAAAAAAACCCAGACTAGCTGAGTGTGCCCCAGTTTGGGGCAGGGACCCTGCTGTGTCCCCTCAGCTGTGCTGCCTCCTGACCCTGCAGCTCCAGGCTGTTCCATGGCTCTGCTCTGACCTCTAGGCCAGGCTCTGGGAATTTCTCCTCCATGCAGAGTCCCTAAATCCCAGTGGGAAGGCAGCTGTTGGGTGCTGGTGGCTCCTCTTGCCCCGATGGTTCTTTGGAGGTGAATTTGTGCTCACAAGCGACGCCTCTCGCCGAGTTAAACCCGCAAACTTCGTTTTATTTTGCTGCAAACTGATCGCTTCTCAATGGGATTCTGGCCTTCCTTTCGCCCTCCCAGGAATGGTGGACCCACCTGTGGCTGAATGAGGGCTTTGCCTCGTGGATTGAGTACCTGTGTGTGGATCACTGCTTCCCAGAGTACGACATCTGGACCCAGTTCGTGTCTGCTGACTACACACGGGCCCAGGAGCTCGATGCCTTAGACAACAGCCACCCCATTGAAGTGAGTCCTGCTTCCTCCCTCCCTCCCTCCCTCTTTTTTATTAGCCTCTTTTATTTTTTATTTCTGTGGGCAAGACTTTTCCTGGTAATTAAAAAGGGAACTTTGTAGTCATTCCTGCCACAGAGGGAACTCTGGAGTTGTGGTTACACTGGAGGGAGGTGGTTTCCTCTCCTTCCCTTCTCCTTTCCTTCTCCTTCTACTGCACAAAGAAAACTCCCTTCTAATTCCTAGAGATCAAGTGTTCTGTTGGCACAAGAAGTGTTTGATGCAGTAAATGTTGGGAAATGATCTTGCTTTGTGCAGCAGGTCATTTTAGAGTGATTTTACACCCCATGTTGTGTTCACTGTCCCTGGACTGAACAATTTCCGCTGGTTTTATGGCTTTGGGGTAAGTGTTGAACCAAAGGGTTGGAAGAAGAACCCCAAGTCTATTAGGTTCAACACCAAAACCTGACTTAAAGTGTGTTTAACTTTTCAGCCCAGCCATATCTAGGTCAGTTTAATTACCTGGGTGCAGAGATCCACCGAGGCGATCCTGTGCTGGATGTGCACGTGCCTTCCTTGGGAGAAAAGCCACCTCCCAGACACCACAGCAAGCAGAATTCAGCGTTTTGGCAGCTGCAGTCCCTCTCATGAGAGTTCTCCTGTCCCCCACAGGTCAGTGTGGGCCACCCCTCCGAGGTGGATGAAATCTTTGATGCCATTTCCTACAGCAAGGGAGCCTCTGTGATCCGGATGCTGCACGACTACATCGGGGACGAGGTAAAGGGGGCTGGGCTGGAAGAGCCACCTGGGTGGGGATCTCTTTTTGCAGTTTAAAAATGCTGTGTTTTAACAGCAACAACAACATTTTGAATCTGGGCATTCTGTGTTTTGAAAAATCCTCCCGGTTTGTTTGAATTAACCCATGAGAAATGAGATAAGGGGGGGGCTGTGGAAGGAACTGCAGGACTGTGGGATTCCCTGGCTGATTCCTGGGCATCAGCACAGCACAGAGGGAGGTGCCATGACCTGTCCCCTTGTGTGTTCCCAGGATTTCCGGAAAGGCATGAATTTGTACCTGACCAAATTCCAGCAGAAAAACGCTGCCACAGGTAACTGGGGGTCACGGTGGGCTTGGGGAAAAAACGGGGATTTCTGGATCCAGCCCTGCAGTGCTGAAGGGATGAATCTTTAAACAGCTGTTTTTCCACCTGAGATAGCTGAAATGCCAGGAAATAACTGGCTTGTTTCCAGTTTCATGCCCCTGCACAGCCAGGGTTCAGCATCCCCAGGGGTTTTCTGAGTGGCTGAGGTGACGTGAAAGGGCTGGTTTACCCTTCACCACCTTTGCACAGTCATGGAATTTAGAAACAGAGCCTGTGCTTTGCCAAGTGAGCCTTTTGCAAGCTTCCTTCTGCAGTTATTGATCGTGTGTGTGGTTAAACAGGTCAAAGTCTTGTCCAACATCCCCCCAGCACGTTCTTTGCTTAAACCTTTCCGTGGATCAGGCAGAAATGTGGAAGTGGAACATCAAGCTCTGTCAGCCCGTGGTGTTTGCTCAGCAATTTTGACATAATATATAAAAAAAAAAAAAACTAAAGGAAAAGGTGGTGCTATCTGAATAGTTAACGTTATTTTTAAGGTATTTTTTCACAGCGTGTGTACTGATTGCTTTATTTTTCAGTAGTAAAGAAGCTGTTTGTCCCCCCTCTCCCCCCTGAGTGGTTTAAACTATTTCCTTTTTCTTGCCTCTCCTGTGTTACAATTCAATACAAACACAACCCAAAGCATGAACACAAACTGGAGTAAGAGCCCACCCTCCCCTATCGTGCCCTTAATAAATCCTGACCCACCCAGACTCTGGGGGTCCTGAGCCAGACCTTTCTCCTGCAGAGGATCTCTGGGAAAGCCTGGAAAAAGCCAGTGGCAAACCCATTGCTGCTGTGATGAACACGTGGACCAAACAAATGGGATTCCCGCTCATTTACGTGGAAGCTGAGCAGGTAAATCCAACCTTTGGGGTCACCCCAGAGTAGCAGCTTTGCCCTGGGCTGTGGTTTAGGGTCGGATTTGGGGCATGCACTGATCTAAACACCCTCTCTGATCAAGGCAGGGCTCGCTTTGTGTGGTGACAGTTCTGGCTCTGAAGGGAGGGGGGTGCAGCTCCCTGGAGGAATCTGCTCCAAATCCATGGGGAGTTGTCCCAGGAACTCCCTGGATCCCTGGAGTTTGTGACGTTGGAAGTTGCTCTGTGTGTGTGAAACGTGTGCTGGGGGAGGGAGGCTCTGCCTCAGCTCGCCCTGCTTCTCATTCCACTTCAGTTATGCTTATTCCACAAGATTGCAGGGTGAGGGAGGATCACTGGGAGCAAATTCAGCTGGGAATCAGGGCATGTGTGTTCCGACAGGAGCAGGGATTTGTGCTTTGGGGTGAATCCTCAGGTAGCTCCTGTTTCTGGAGGAGGATCCCAGTTACCCCGTTAGACAGGGGGCACACCTGGTGATAACAGAAGCTGACATTAGACATTCTACTCATTCCTTTCTCTCTTTCTCTTCCCTTTTTGTCTTCAGCAAGAAGATGACAGAGTGTTGAAGTTAGTCCAGAAGAAATTCTGTGCCAGTGGACCATATACTGGTGAGATGAGCAGGATCAGAGCAATCCCTGCTGCTCCTGCACTGAAGCAGCCAGTGCTGAACCTGCAGCTGGGGCCTCTTTGAACAGCTTGTTTCTCACAGTTGTGTGTGTTCTTCCTCCTTCCTTTCCACCCTTTCTCCTTCCAGGGGAGGATTTCCCCATGTGGATGGTGCCCATAAGTATTTGCACAAGTGATGACCCCACCTGTGCCAAAATGCAGATCCTGATGGACAAACCAGAGCTCACTGTGGTTTTGAAAGACACCAAAGCAGACCAGTGGGTGAAGGTGAGTCCTCGTGAGGGAGGGCACGGCTGGGGGTGAGTTTGGAGCCACTGGAATGTTCCCTTGCATTTCATTTCCCCTTTTTTTTTTTTCTTTTATTCCTTCCCCTTGGACTCTTGTGTTTCTTCTGGAAGGGCCTCTCTGTGCTGCTGTTGGATTTTTGGCTCCTCTCTGGACACTTCCTTAGTGGAGCCCTTTTCCCTTCCAGAACTACTCCAGACAATGTAAACTGGGACTTTTTAGGAATCCAAGCCTGGGCAATCAGAGGCAGCTTTGGAGTGGAGATGTGGTGGCTTTTTTGGTCTCCCAGGGCAACCAGAGTTTAATTCAAGTCCATCCTGAGCAAAAAATAGTCCTGTTTATCTTTCCTTAGTGGGAAGGATTTCTGGTGGCCACTGCCAGGCCAATGTGCAAGTGAGAAAAAGCCACTGCTGAGCTCTGCTGGAGCCACAGGGGGTTTAAAACCTGGGAGGGGGTTTAAAAACTGGGAAGGAATTCAGAAACAGAGGGAATTTAAAAAGGGCAGTTTAGAAACTGGAAGAAAATTTAAAATCTGAGAGACAGACTGGGAGAGACCTTAAAAATGAGAGAGAATTTAAAAACTGAGAGTTTAAAACCTGAGAGAGAATTTAAAAACTGGAAGGCAGCAGTGGCTGGGCCTCTTGTAGGAGCTGCTAGGGGAGCTCCCTCTTCTCTCCCTGTCCTTTTCTCCTTTGAAATCTTGATTTTTTTTTTTTTCCCCTCCCTTATCATGTTTTTAATTTTTCATTTAAATGATAACGATTCACTTGTGTGACCTGCAAGGCCTGGGGACATTTCCAGTGGTCCAAACCATTAAAAAGCATCACCTGATCCATTCCCTCCTTGTAATTTTGGGCTGGTTTTGGTCCTTTGCAGCTCAACCTGGGCACGGTGGGGTTTTACCGCACCCAGTACAGCCCGGACATGCTGGAGAGTTTAATCCCAGCCATCAAAGACCTCTCCCTACCCCCTGTGGACAGGCTGGGCCTGCAGAATGATCTCTTCTCTCTGGTAAGTCCGATAAAAACTGCAGAAATTGGGGGGGTTTATGGCAGTTTTTACAGGCAAAATGCCTTTGGGGTTGGTGCACGTGCTTATTTTTATTTATTATTAATATTGTTATTAATATTTATTACCAATACTAATTACCAATATTATTTATCATTAGTATTACTTATTACAAACATTATTTATTAGAATTATCACTATTTGTGATAAATATCAACAGTGATATTTCTAATAAATAATGATAAATATTATCATCAATAGTATTAGATGGTACAGGTATTATTTATTATAAACAAGTGACAAGCAATGAATGAATCAAACAGTGAGCTGCTCAGTGCCTTCACTCTGCCTGCAAATGAGATGACTCCGTGTGTTTCTCCCCTGCCAGGCCCGAGCTGGAATCATTAGCACTGTAGAGGTTCTCAAAGTCATGGAGGCTTTTGTGAACGAGCCCAATTACACCGTGTGGAGCGACCTGAGCTGTAACCTGGGCATCCTCTCCACCCTCCTGTCCCACACAGACTTCCACGAGGAGATCCAGGTGTTCGTGAAAGACGTCTTCTCCCCCATAGGGGAGAGACTGGGATGGGACCCCAAACCTGGAGAGGGTAGGAAACTTCTGCTCTGGATCCTGGGGGGGCTCTGCAAAACTCCTGTGGCCATGAGTCGGGATTTTGGGGGGGGAAATTCTGTTGTGAAATCCAGTGCTGGGTTTGGAAATTTAATGTCAGTAATTCAAAATTTTGAAGGAAATTTCTGCTGTGAAAGACAGTAACGATTTTGGAGAACTCTAAATGAGCCATCAGGAATTTGGGAAAGGGGAGAGAAGGGAGGAAAAGGAGGCACTCAAGGGGTGTTTTTATACTTAAAACCAGACACAGAACCCCCCTCAGAAGATCCTTCTGTTATGCACGAGTTAAAACCTTTCTGTACCTGGTAAAAATTCTCTGCTTGATTTTGCTGGAGTGCAGGAAAATCCTGGGATTGCAGGGATGGAAAACCATGTATGTGCATGTCCTGGTCAGCCCTGGTGTAGGTAAAATGGTTAAAATTCCTGACTTAACTCAGATTTCAGACTCACAAGTTGTATTCGGGCTGGAATTTTCTTCTCCTGACCCTCTTGCTGTGGAAAAAAAAAAAAAATCAATGTATTCCCCACCAAGGAGAGGGAGAAAAGGCCTGGACTCAACTGTGCCTCCCAATAATTACATTTTTTCCCTCCTCCTCACCCTTAGGTCACCTGGACGCCCTCCTGAGGGGTCTGGTCTTGGGAAAACTGGGAAAAGCCGGGCACAAGGCAACGTTGGAAGAGGCCCGGCGCCGCTTCAAGGACCACGTGGAAGGAAAACACATCCTGTCAGCTGACCTGAGGAGTCCTGTAGGTTCCTGCACATCCTGGTGCCCCAAAACACCGTCCCCGCTCCCAGAAGCAGGGCACCAGAGGGGAGCAGTGTGGAGGTGTGAGACAGGGGGTGGGAGCTTTGGGTCAGTCCACAGCTCGGATCAGCTTCCCAAGGAACCGGTCCTGGGGAGGATGAAATGTCCCTGTGTTTGCCATCCCGGTGTTTGGCTGGGCTTGGAATTGCCAAAATCACACCCAGGTTGAGGGAGGAGGTGAAGGAGTGGAAGCATCTCTACAGTGCAGTCTGAGAACACTCAGGGTGGGGTCAGTGCTGGGGAATTCTATCCCAAACATGCCCAAACTGTCACATTTCTGGGAGTTCTGAGGGCGTTCCCTGGTGTGTTTTGCTCTGTCCTAGGTCTATGTGACGGTGCTGAAGCACGGAGACAGCTCTACTTTGGACACCATGCTGAAGGTGGGCTCCCCCTCACTCTGAAATTCAACATTTCACCCCAAAAGCTCCTCTGGGATGTGGTTTATCCCCCCCCAGGCTCGGTCCCTGCTCCCTGCCTGCTGTGAAGTTGCCACCTAGTGGAGTGTCCCAGCTCTCCTTTTGGGATTCTTCCTCCCTGCTGGAGGAACACTTGACCTTCTAAACTACTTGACCTTTGTATAAACAGCGATGCAAATCAGTTTATTACTAATTTAATTTGTGCTCCTGGACACGGGATGAGTCTGTGGTGGGGGAATAACTGCAGGGTGAGTCACCAGCCAGGCCAATTTGTCACATATTGGGCTGGAAGATTAATTAGCAGCTCTGCCATACCCAGTGAGTCCATTAGGTGAGAAGTCAGCCTTTTTTTGTTTTATATTTTAACAACCCTTCCCTTTGGCCCTGAAGCTCCACAAGCAGGCAGACATGCAGGAGGAGAAGAACAGAATTGAACGTGTTCTCGGAGCCATCTCTCAGCCAGAACTGATTCAAAAAGTTCTCACCTTTGCACTTTCAGTAAGTTCTTGGGAAAGCTGCTGGATAGGAGGATAATCACAGTAATTATAATTATAATAATCTTAATATTGGGATATTCCTTCAGGGTATTGTATGACCCCTACCTTCTGGGAGTGGCAAGTGTGTTCAGAGCACTGTGAGCATAAAATGGGTTAAAACAGGAGAAATCTTAATTATTAAGTCTTTAAATTGTATCTTCAATTTTTTTTTTAGGGAATTTGGTTTTTTTTATTAACAGATTAAGTCTTTGGGGTAAAAAGAAAAGCTTTTATTGACAGCCTGGGTGTAGAAATACACAAAGGCAGCGTGCTGGATTTTTGGAGCAGTGTGGAACATCCCTTTGTTTTCCATCCCCAGGAAGAGGTACGTCCCCAGGACACGGTGTCAGTGATCGGAGGAGTCGCTGGAGGCAGCAAGCAGGGCAGGAAAGCTGCTTGGAAATTTGTAAGGGACAATTGGGAGGAACTTTATAATCGATACCAAGGTGGATTCTTAATATCCAGACTAATAAAGGTACGTGTGGGGCCAAGCCAGCCCCAGGCTGTGCTGTGGGAAGTGCTGGAGCCTCACCCTTTGGCTCACGCTGTTCTTTTTCCCTTCAGCTCACAGTGGATGGATTTGCAAATGATAAAATGGCTGCAGAAGTGAAGGTAAGAACCTTTTAATTGGAGAAGTGATTAATTAATCCGTGACAAGCCCTGTGAGCGCTGAGGGGAGAGCCAGGAGTTTCCACGTGGATTCTGTGGTGGGGCTGTGGCTCTGCCTGGTTCTGCCCCTGAGCTGCCCTGCTTTGGGTTGGATAGAATATCACTGCAACTCCTTCAGTTAGCATTTGCCAAGTCATGTGCAATCCCAGTGAAATCACTCTTTCCTTCTTTTGGGCTTTGGTAAAATCCAGCACAGTCCTCCCCAGACTGACAGGGCACCTTTGGGGCTCCCTGGGATGACAGCAGGGGGAATTCCTGGCAGGAACTGGCTCAGTTCCACCCTCCACAGGTTTTCTGTGCTGTGCCCAAGGGCAAGGCTTTGGCCCAGGCAGATCAGTGTCTTGGCAGGGTCTGTCTTGAGCTGGGAGCTTGAGGTGATGTGACTTTGTTACACCCCCTTGTCTCAGTGGAGTTTTGGGAAGAGGTGTGGGCTTGATGGTTTATTCTTTTGCAAGAATGACTTCTTGGAGGAAGAAACCTAAAAAAATGTGGCCCTTAAGTTATCACTTTCCTGGTAGGAAAATGCTCAGGAGGAATCCTTATTGTGAAGATCAGCTGAGCCATGAGCTCACTCTGCCCTTTTTACCGTCTAGTAATTTGAGAAAAGATTTAATAGCTCAAGTGGTTTTACAGAGAAATCCTGCACTACAGTTGGTATTTTTTTTTTCTTAAAAAACACTTTGCAAAAACATCTACCAGAAAAGTCATCCCTAAGTAAATCCCAGCTCCTTTCCAGGAGAGCTCCCTGAGCCAGCACACCGAGCTTTGAGGGGAGCCCTTCAGGTGGCTGAGCCTCCCTGTCACCCTGTGGTTAGTGTGAGGTGGTCTGCCAAATCCTGGGAAAAGCTGCTTGGAGGGAGGCAGGGATGGCTCCTGGCTGTGCCAGCTCCCTCTCCTTCAGCCGATGGGAAAATGCAAAGTCACAGCAGCCTCAGGGGAAGCTCCTCCAGCCTCAGCTGCTGGTGGGGGATCGATGGTGTTGGTGCTGGAGGAGGAAACGTGAGACCATCCAGCAAAACTCCCGAGTGCTGCTGGGCCTTTGGAGGTCACTGCACAGCCTGCAGAGAGGCCTGGGAGGAGCTCTGGGAAACCTGATCCCGGGACAAATGCTTGTGCACGGTGGCCTTAGGCTTCCCCCGTGTCTCCTTCGGGTGTCCCGAAATACCCGCTGGACCTGCTGCCTGGGGGCTGGATCCGACTCCTTGGAGCCACGTGCTGTCCCTGCAGCAAGGACAGGGCAGGGCAGGGCAGGGCAGGAGGGGGCTGGCTCATGGGAAAGCCGCTGTGGCTTTCCTTTAGCGCAGGAATGGGGGGATTTTGCTGTTCCCACTCTCCTGTTAGGGATTGTACCTCCTGCAAGCTCAGCCAGGTGTTCAGTTGGTGCCAGTGCGGCCTCACCTCGAGTGCTGGGGGCAGTTCTGGGTGCCACTGTCTAGGATGGATCTAAAGCTGTTGGAGAGTGTCCAAAGGAGGGACCCAAGGATGGGGAAGGGCCTGGAGGGGAAGCTGAGGGTGAGGGCACTTGGTTTGTTCAGCTGGAGGAGACTGAAGGTCTGCAGCTCCTCCTGAGGGGCTGATCTCTGCTCTGTGTGGGCAGGGATAGGACCCAGGGAATGGCTGGAGCTGTGCCAGGGGGATTTTGGGAAAGGTTCTTCCCCCAGAGGGTGGTTGGCACTGAACAGGCTCCCCAGGGCAGTGGGCACAGCCCCAAGGCTGCCAGAGCTGCAGGAGGGTTTGGACAACGCTCTGAGGGACAGGGGGGGATTGTTGGGGTGTCCTGGGCAGGGCCAGTTGTGTTGACTCTGGGCTCAGTTCAGTTTGTAAATATTAACTCCAAACCACTAAATAACTGCCAGCACTTATTAATTGTTCTTGTCAATAATACTTTGTGAGCTGCCAGTGACTTCACTAAATCAAGTTGTTGACTCAGTAACCTCCTGGCAGGAGGGGGGAGCCAGGTGGGGGTCAGGCTCTTCTCCCAGGCAGTAGGATGAGAGGGCACAGGGGAGGTTTAGGGTGGGCACAGGGGAGGTTTAGGGTGGGCACAGGGGAGGTTTAGGGTGGGCATTAGGAAGAAGTTCTTCACAGGAAGGGTGATTGGCTTTGGAATGGGCTGCCCAGGGAGGCGATGGAGTCACCAATCCCTGGAGGTGCTCAAGAAGCGCCCGGGTGTGGCACCAGCGCCAGGGAGGGGTTGGCCCAGGGGATGGACTCTCTGGGAGGTGTTTTCCAAGCCCGGTGGATCCTGTGGTTCTGTGAGTGTCCAGAGCCCAGTCCCCACCGCGGGTGCTGCCGCCTGTGCTCCCTCCCCAGGCGTTCTTCGAGAGCCACCCCGCGCCGTCGGCGGAGCGCACGGTGCAGCAGTGCTGCGAGAACATCCTGCTCAACGCCGCCTGGCTCAAGCGGGACGCCGACAACATCCACCACTTCCTGGCCCAGCGCAGGGGCCCCCCGGCCACCGTGTGAGCCCCCCCATCCCCACCCCCCCCAGGTGCCACCCACCACCACCACCACCGCGGTCCTGCCCCCTCCCCTGGGTGAGGGGGCACAGGGACGAGCCACCCCTCCGGAATGCCAAGAATTTGGAGTACCTTTTCTTTTCTTTTTTTTTTTTTTATTTTTTTTTCTCAGCCCTCAGACTGGGGATTGGACCGTGAATGTAGAGTTTTAACTGGTTCCTGCTCACACTCCAGATTTGGGAAAAACAAACAAACAAACAAACAAACAAAAAAAAAAGGAAAAAAAATAATCCTGTGTTAAAATGATCAGCAATCCAGCGAAAAGAGAGAGGAGAGAGAAAAACAAGACAAAAAACAAACACCCGAAAGAAATCTGTAAATATGATAGTAATAAAATAGAGCATAACAAAACTGTGAAACTTCCTCAAGCCTTGTCAGTGGTTAAAATATTTAACACTCCCCACCCCCCTCCTGACACTCTTATTGACAGATGTTCTGTTTTTTACACCCTCCCCCACCCCCCAAAAAATAAATAAAAGGAAACCAGTGGTTTCTAGGTCAGTGGAGAGGCTGGGGCAGGAAGGGGTGAAAGCCTCAGCTGGTGTGGAACAGGTCACTGGGGAAGGCAGGTAGTGGTATAACATAGTCTGTGCATCATCCCAAGGGCAGGGTTTTGGGGAGATGTTCCTGCAAACCCTCCTACCCCATGGATAGTAGGTTCCCTCCCCTTTGTGTTACCGTTCAGCAAAACCAAACCTGTTCTGTTGCTCCTCCGTCCCCCTCCCGGGTTCCACCCGCTGATGTTCCTTCGCAGAGAGAACGGGATTGGGAGCAAACCCCTTTCCCAGCCACACTCGAGAAGAGAAAGGCTCCTGAATTCAGATTTTCAGTTCAGAACCACCCCCTCCCCGTGCATGCAGGTGAGGAGATGGCTGTGGGGCTGGGCTGGGCTCTCCTGGCCCAGCCACCACTGCTTTTCCAAAGGATCCAGCTGCTCCCATCTCCTCCTTGGCCGTAGCTTTCCGTTCCTTTCTGTGATGTTGATGGTAATTAAGAAGCCTTAAATTAGTGCTGACTGGCGTGATGATGATGATGAAGTCCAAGCTGTGTGCCATCATCCCCTCCCAAGGCAGCGTGGTACTAACCAGCCACAACACCCTCTAACAGTGCAAAGGTTGGAGTTCCATATTTTTCCCTCCCCCTTTCTATTATTTTTCTTTAACAGGAATTCGTATTTGGTGTGGCTTTAACTGTATTTCAGAAGGTCATCAGACTAACTGTCAGACTGCTTCCCTGAAACATTTTTTGTGCTATTGTTTAAAAAAGAAAAAACCAGGAGAAAAAAAAAAAAAAGGTTACAAAGGAGATTAAAAAAAAAAAAGATTAAAAAAAAAAGATTTAAAAACAGTTGGCGTTAATAAAAAATGTCAATGTGAAATTCACATCCTCATCTTGTGTTCTCTTCGAAGCCTCCAAGGACCCAAAGCTGGGAGGGGACAGTGGCCAAGGTGTCATTTACAGCCTCAAGGAACCCCCAGTCCTCCTGGGCCATCAGTGGTAGGTCCTGGGGAGCACAGACTGTGAGTAGAGCCTGTATAATCTAAATAAAAAGCACTAAAGAACTGACCAGGATGGGGTTTGGAAGGTAAAGGGGAAGTTAATTGTTAGTGAGCAAATCTGTATTAAATCCTGAAAAGCTGGGGGGGAGAGGGAACAGCATCGTCCACCACATTTATATTGAACTCCTGAAAGTTTGGGAACAGCATCCTGCAAGTGCTGCTGCTCCAGGGCAGGGAAACAGCCCAGGAACAGGACTGCAGGAGCAGCCACAGAGCTCTGGCCCAGCATCACTCTGGTTGGTCTCCCTGGGGAAAAGGAATTCTGGCCCCGAGTCCCATCCCTGCCCGTGTTTCCCTGCCGTCAGCACTGCCCTTTCAGCACACTAAGCTGGTTTCCCTTCTGCTCCCTGCACACTGACAAAATAACCTGCAGAGCTGGGGTGTCTGACACCGGGGGCCCCGTGGCTGCCAGCTGGGGCTGGTCCTGTTTGCATTCACACAGTGCCAGGGCCAGGCCAGCCCTGCAGGGAGGGCACAGAAACAACTCGCTCGTGCTCACTGAGCAAACTGAATGGGCACAGCAGACTGGCTGGGCTGGGGCTCCTGGGAGCTCAGAGCTTCATGGGAGTAACTCTGGCCTTTGTCCACCTCACAGCAAATCTCCTGGTTGTTTTTCTTTTGCCATCGGACAGAAAGTGATGCTCCAGGAGAGGGGCGGGACAAGAGGAGCAGGAGTTGCTGTGGGTGAGGAAAGGGATGGGATGGGGCTCAAGTGATTGTTAATGAGAGGACCTGTGGCTTCCACAATCCCAGGCAGTCCCAGCCTGGGAATTTGTGTAGGATTTTCTGAGGAAGCTGAGCAGCCTCAGGAAGGGGAAACCTCATCACCCAGCTCATGTCCCAGCCCTGCCACAATCCCCCCCAGTGCCTTGTGTCTGCAGCCAGCAGCTCCTCAGCTCTTCTCTCCCCGTTCCTGCAGTCGGTTTATGGAAGCAGGAGAGGATACAAACCTCTAACAGGGATGCTCAGTATTCCTTTTATGGGAATGAGGAGAAAAGCTGCATCCAGCTCCAGTTTCCAGCTCCAGCCTGGGGGAGGTGACTCCACAGGCTCCTTGTCCTCATTTACACTGGAGTTTGGGGGCTTTCCTTGCTGCCAAGGCCAGATTTGTACTGAGTTCTTTAATTTTTTCTCTCTCCCTGCTTTTCCTGGGAGCAGTTCCCTGAGGGAATCCCTCCTGCTTGGCACTGCGGGGCTGTGTCCTGGTGTTCAGCAACTCTGGCTCTGTGAGGCTCCTTCATTCCCACCTTGCCATTTTTCCCCTCTGGACAAAGCTGCAGGAGAGTGAATTTCACCTGATTTCACCCCAAAAGCTGCTCAGTGAATCCCTCTTGATCCAGAGTCCCTGATTCAGAGTCCCTGATGTTCCCAGAGCTGTTCCCAGCTCTTCCCAGTGTGGATTTATCAGGAGCAGCCCCCTCTCCTCCTGTCCCTGCCTCTGGATCCTGTGCTCCATCAGTCTCTTATCCCAGAGGTCTCCAAGCTTTGCATGGCCAGGGAACGGGTGAAGAGAACTCCATTCCATGGATGCAGCCCCATCCACCTTCCAGAGGTCCCAGCTTTGTTTTTCCAGCTGGAGCAGCTGAGACAGGTGCAGATGAGACATTGCAAGAACAAGATCACGGGATCATGGAATTGTTAAGGTTGGAAAAGCCCTCCAAGGTCATCAAGTCCAACCTCTCACCAGCACTGCTGTGTCACCACTAAAACACGTCCCCAAGTGCCACATCCGTGAGTTTTTGAACACTTCCAGGGATGGGGACTCTACCACTGCCCTGGGTGGGGTACAACACTTTCCATAAAGAAATTTTCCCTGGTATCCCATTTTTCCCTCTGGCACAGCTTGAGGCCGTTTCCTCTCATCCTGTCCCTCCTTCCCTGGGAGCAGAGCCCGATTCCCACCTGGCTCCCCCCTCCTGTCAGGGATTTGTGGAGAACAGTGATGGCAGCAGGACAACCACTTCCCCGCCCTCCCAGGGAAGGATTTATTCCCAATATCCCATCTAGCCCTGCCTCTCTCAGGGATCATCCCCTCCTGGCCCCATTTCCCCCCGCAGCGATGCCCGCATTCCATCGGATCCCGTTTCTGGAGCACGTCCCTTTCCCAGGAAACCAAAACACACGGGGAGCAGGGAATGATTGATGGGATTGGAGCGCGGCGCTCCCGTGCCCGCAGCGCTGCCTGTCCCAGGGCAGCCCCGGCCATCCCTCAGCCCGGCCCTTCCCGGGAGGGGCCGCGTCCTGGCTAATTGTCGCTTGTCCCCGCGTCCATGGAATGCCACAAAGCGCCCGGTTGTGTCACTAACTGCGAATCCGCCGTTACGCGCCGTTAATTATTCACCTCCACCTTCGTCCCGCCCTTCTTCTCCCAGGCATCCCTTTCTCGCCTCCCGCATCCCACGGATGTGGCTCCGGCCCTTCCCACCCTGATGTGCCCCGTGTGACCACCTTTTGGAGACACACTGGGATGCAGAGGGACCCCCGAGGGGAGACCCCCGAGGGTGGCCGGTGCGGGGCGAGGGAGCGGTTCCATCCCGACCCCGGAGCCCTCGGGGCTCCGCCCGTTTCCCGGCACCGGGGGTTGCTGGACACCCAAACCCACCCTGGATCCCGTTCTTCCCGAGCACGTGGCTCCTCCCGGGCCGGTTCCGGTGCCGGTGCCCGGAGCTGCCGCTGCTTCCCGGGGATGCTGCGGGCGGGGCCGCCGCCAGCAGCGCCAGTGCCGGTGATCCCGGTTCCACTGATCCCAGTGATCCTGATCCCAGTTCCGCTGATGGCGGTGGCGCCGCTTCCAGCGATCCCGGTGTTCCCGTTCCGGGGGTCCCGGTGGAGTCTCCCCTGTCCCCCCTCACCCCCCCCGCGGTCCTCACGTGGCCGCTCCCCCCTCCCCCCCACCAACACCCCCCCTCCCCACTCAATGGTCCCTTCCCGGCCCCGCCCTCTCCCCGCGCGCGCCGCCGGAAGCCCCGCCCCCTCCTCCTTCCCCTCTCCCCCCTCCCCCGTTCTCCAATGGGCTCGCGCCGCCCGCCCCGGCCAATGGGGGCGCGGCGCGCGAGCGCGGGGGGGGGCCCGGAGCGGCGGCCAATCAGCGCGCCGGGCGCGGGGCGCGCGCGCGGGGACGCCCGGCGTATCCCTCCGCCCGCCCCGGTGCGCGCGCGCGCCGCCGCCGCCTCCGCCCCGCGCGGCACCTCTTTACCTCTCCTTTTTT